CCGGCGCTGTGCACCGCGACTAAGCGGCGTCTCACCTCGCCCGCCAGGCCAAAGAGGCCCGCGATGCCCGCCTTGGCGCACGCGCGCGAGGTGGCCTTGCACGCCAGGCCGAGCTGCGCCATGAGCACCGTCAGCTGCGCGGCAGCGGCGGGAGGAGTCAGAGGCAGAGCCACCGGGTGGCGGGCGGCGGCGGGAGCGACGGGCGGCAGGCGGGCAGTGAGTGGCTGTGGGTCGCGAGCGAGAGCCATGTGTGTGGCTGCGAGGTGCGCGTGTGCCCACGCATGCGGCTCGGCGCGCCTCTTTATCGCTCGTGTTCTCCATGAGCCAGCGGCCAAGATTCATGAAGTCTTGTTCGGCCGAGACATCTTCGACTGAGCCGCGCGTCGTTCTCGCCTCTGGCATGCTGCTGGGTCTCCGAAGGTGCAGCCTGCGGTGCGTACGCAGACCGGGGAGCTGTGATCGGTGCCAGGATCGCCGGGCGAGCCGGGCGAGGGATGGAATGGCTCACAGCCCGGCGAGGGAACCTTTTGTAAGCTACGTCTGAGGTCTCGGCATGAGCGAAAAAGTAAACCCGGGATACCCATCACTGAGCCGACGATGCTACGGGTAGCCCCAGGGTGGTGCCCACCCCCATACCCTCTGGCACTTGCCTGCGCCCTGGCCGCGCATGCCGCGCACGCGCGCGCACGCGCGCGCACGCGCGCGCACGCCCGCGCACGCCCGCGCACGCCCGCGCACGCCGCGCACGCCCGCGCACGCCCGCGCACGCGCGCGCACGTGTGCGCACGTGTGCGCACGTGCGCGCACGCGGCACTACGCCGCACTACGCCGCACTACGCCGCACAGTGTGGCGCTGTGTGGCACTTCCGGCAGGTTGCTGTGAGAGAAGCATGTGTTACCCCCTACACAGCCTTTTACACACATTTAATCACCATCAAGACCCAAGAGCATCTCTTTGACCTCATCTAGGTCACACCTGTCTGGGCATGACTTAGGGCCAGCTCGCGACCCCTTTTTCCGCCATGCAACAGTGGGTTCGTCCAAGTCCATGACTTCATCCCACCCATCAGCCGGGTAGAAGATACGCATCTGCTGGTCTGGAACTCCCGGCACAAGCTGCACGACAATGCCTGGTTGCCAAGTCCCGGTGTCATCAGTGTGGTCGTCCTCATCCCACCACACAACCTGGACATGCCAGCCGACGATGTTCTGCGCATCATTAGTTGTCTGCCGTAACCCGGCTGTCCCCA